CTTTTTTCAATATGATAATATTACGTGTAAATCCAAAAATTTTCATTATTTTTTAACATCACATTCTTCATCGGCCTACTATTCCAAAATACATTCTTAGCCAAAATAATGGGGCTTAAATAAATTAATAATAAATATTTTTGTATAATTTAAAGGGAACATTATATGATTTAAGGGATTACAAAATACAATTTCAAAATTAATAAATTAGTTTTATTATTTCAAAAATGAGTTAGCAATTAAATTTTAATTAGTAAATAATTAATTAAAAATATTTTAATAATGAAATATAATAAGATCGCAATATTATATAATTTATGATCACAATTATGTATTAGACACAATTATAGACACCACATTCACAAATCACAAATTTTATAATTACAACTTATTTCTCAATAACAAATTATCGAATTAATTGGTCATGTATTATTCATTGGTTACAAATCACAAATTTTATAGATCACAATTTATTAAATTAATATGTCATGTATAATTCACAAATTTTATAAATCACAATTTATTTATCGATTATAAAATACCAAATTAATCGGTCACATATTATTATTTTTTATCACAAATCACAAATTTTAAAAGTTACAACTTGTTTCACTGTCGTAAATTAACAAATTAATTGGTTACAAGTTATTTATTGATCACAAATCACGATTTATTTATAGAGCACAAATTATCAAATTAATTTACCACGCATTATTTATCGATCACAAATTTTATAAGTACAACTTATTTCATATCACAAATTATCAAATTAATTTATCACAATTTATCAAATTAATTGATCATAACTTAACAAATTATGAGTCACAATTATAAATTTAGTTGCAATTTCACATTTTTTAGGTCACATATTATTTATCGATCACAACTTATCTATTTTTATTGATCACGTAGTATTTATTGATCGCTCATTAACTATTTTATTAGTTACCATCACTCAAATAATTTGTCACAAGAACTTTTTATTCCACCCATCCCTTGGCACCTCACCACTATCACTGTCATCGCCACCGCCACCGCCACCTCACCCACCACCACCACCACCACCACCCAAAAGTATCTCGAGTCGAACCAAACTCAATTTAAAACAACATATCCAAAATTAAAAGTAAAACTGCTGGTTTTTCGATGGAATCACCAGCATCATCGCCAGTAGATCCAAAATCAAAAGTAAAACAACAAAGGAGACTCGAATTTAAAACCACAAATTCAAAAGTAAAACCATTGGCATCATCATCGACATCGAGCGATGTAGAGCGATGATTGTATGGTGAAATCGATGCCATCGTAGTAGCGTTGGCTACACGCGTCGGGCAAGTTTCGAACACGGAGATGACGCGTCGGGCAAGCTTCGAACACGGAGATGATACCGCAGCTGCTGTGTCGTGATGCCGGAGATGATGTCATCACAATGGCTCATCTCGTGTTGCTGTCGCATCGACAATGTCATTCGTGGCACTTGCCTCCGATGGTGGTTGTGTGTGACAAAGAAATAGAAGAGATGTAGAGAGAATGGAGAATAATTAAGGTTTGAGAATGAAATTTGGTAGAATGAGGAAGGTAGGGTAAGTATATAGATTAATTTAATTTTAAAATATTATTATTAATATTAAAATGTGAAATTATTATTTGATTTTTGTATAAACAAATCTTATGGGGTGTATTTAATTGAAACTTTAAAGGACTTTTTGGGATATAAAAAGTTCTGGGGTATTTAATGTAGATTTTTGAAAATTCTCTAAAAGTATTGGTGTATTCAACTGAGATTTTTATAGGCTTTTAAAAA